GTGCTCCGTGCGGCTCGGGCTCCCGCGCGGGCCCGCGCCCGCCGGGCGGCGGCCGGCCCGGGGCCGTTCCGGGGCGGCGGCCCGGGGCCTCCCCCGCGTGCAGCCTCCGGCCCCATCCCCCATTGTCCCGGCCTCCGGCCGTTTGCGGCTTCCAGGTTGACTTTTTAGGGGGTTGGCTCCGACTCTGCTAGACTGTGCGAGCGGAGCATGCGCGCTGGAGGCGTACGTGTGCGCCGGGCAAGGGGGGAGGGAGGAGGCGGGTTGGTGGCTTCACAATGCCGCCCCACGTGCTGCCAGATTTAAAGAGAAAGGAGCCGGCGCTCACCCCCGCTGTCCAGCGCCAGGCGTGTGCCCTGCGCGGTGCCGGCCGGCTCGCCCCTTCTCAGTCGGTAGCCAGAGGCCGCCCCTCCCCGCCGCTCCCCTCCGAGCGGAGCACCGAAAGCTGGGAGGAAGATAAAGGAAATAGATTTCTGTGAGTTCGAGGTGTCAGTTAAATCGCCTTTACGGCTTCTTAAGGAAAAGGGCGACAGGGGCTGTTCCGGATTGTATAATTAGGTTTATTATTAGACCGTGAGCTGGCAGGTTTGGACAAGTATTAAAATCCTAGATGGAGCAGTGACTTGAAGTGAATGGAAAAGTTAGGATACCCATCAGAAATATTACGTTCGAAAGAAGCGAAATACTTTATGGCATCTTATTTAAGAGCATTCGTTTTCTGTGGTCTTTTCCTCGATTTATTTTGTTTTGGGGGAAGGAATTAAGACTTTTTTCCCGTAAGAATTCTCTGAACTCAAGGTCTGCCTGATCTACGGTAGAGAATTCCAGGACGGCTATGGCTATGTAGAGAACCCTTGTTTCAAAAAACGAAAACAAAAAAAAGCAACAAAATCAAATTTGTCAGATTAAGTTTTTATTATGCGCCAAGTTATTAAGTTGTAAGCACTAAATGTTAAAGCAGCAGTCTTACATTTTAAAAGGTGCAAAAGATTTTTACGGTTTAACAATACCACTGTGCTAAAATACTACCCATTTGTGAGTATAGTCTTTTTTGGGGGGGGGAGGAGGGGTGGCAGGTTTTCTCTGTGGAGACCTTGGCTCTCCTGGAACTCACAGAGATCTATCTCTGCCTCTTCTTTATCTTTCTCCCTCTCCTCCCCTTCAGGGTTTCAGTGTGTAGCCCTGGCTGTCCTGGAACTTGTGTACACCAGGTTTGCCTCACTCAGAGGTCCGTCTACCCCTTTTCTTGTCAGTGCTGGGATTTGATTCTCGTTTCTCCACACTAGGCTTGTGCAGTTGTTGTTTCACAGATAACAGTGAGAACATTTTTCAAAGGTCTTTTAACCAATGCTTGATTTTTTTTTTTTCTGATGAGGTATTTTAAAATATACAGTAAGGGAGAATAGAAAATGATTAACTTTCCATGCTATCTTATAAAGTTACTTATTTTTCAAGTAGGTTATTTTACAGAGACAGTATAATAATAGTTTGTCATTTTTGGGAAGTTTTAATTAACTTGCTCAAAATGTACAGAACAAAGTTTGTTAATTGAAATATGAAAATATTAAATTTATTTGGGAAGATTTGATAAGCACCTAAAAAGTAAACCTTTTCACTTTAGTAGCATTTTAAAAAAAATGGGTTTCTAGTATAAAATAGTAAAAAATGATAAAATGTAATCTCTTGAAATTAGTGAACTTGTGTAGGGTTTAATTGTAAATGACTTAAACTATTAGAATTAACTGAGTAGGTTAACAAACCTGGTAAGTATTCTCACTGTTAGAATTTCAGTACCTGCATTTGTTGAGCTTGAAGGGTTGCCAGTGATAAATATTTTTGATTCATTACCTAGGAAGATTTATCCTGTAATGAAGAAGAGCTTTGTTACTTCAGAAGTTGAGGATGGTGCCCCGGGTTACAGAATTTCTCGTTTCTGGTACCATGACATTTAGAGCATTTGTTGTCTGGTGGGTTGTACCTGTGCAGTAAAGGTTACAGCATTTCTGTTTTGTATCCACCAAATACCAGTAGTATTTCCTCTCCATTTGTAGCAGTGAAAAATACAGCTATTGCCAAAAGTCCCCTGGGACAAAATTAGGGTGTTTGCCCATAGGGAAGCCAGTAAGAACACCTTACACACAGACATGAAATCAGATAGCTTGTGTATTTCTTTGTGATATTATTAGGTTATGACTTACCCCTTTACCGATTTAGTTACAGACAGTTTGTATGTGTGTGTGAGAGAGATTAAACACCAAGAAGTCCCCTTAGTACAAGAAACCCATTATAAACATTTGAAAGGTACAATAAACACAGGTTGAAATAGAGTACAGACCTGGGAATGGTGGTAAATGTCTTTAATCCTAGCATTTGGGAGTGAACTTTAGGCCAGCCTGGTCTACATAGATCCAGGATAGCCAGGGGTACATAGAGAAGCACTTTAAAAAACAAACAAAAACAAAACAACAAAAACAAAACCCCACCACCACCAACAAAATTCAGAGTAGAAAAGTTAATAATTTTTCCTCCTGACCAAGAGTCCTCTTTGAAGGATTGTCTTCACAGAGGTTATTTTTCTGTTGTATTTTAATTGAGGCTGTTTTGCTTTGTCAGAACAGTTGGCCTGCCTCTAGCTCTAGTCCAGGTTGCAAGCCTCCACCCCAGCTGAAGAGGTGGTATACCTGATGGCTTCTTCGATGCCCTGTGCCAGCCACTGTTACCTCACGCATTATCTCATTTAATTCTCTCAAAGAAAACAGGCTTATCCAGGCCAAATAAACTGCTGAAGGTCAAATGAACGCAGCTAATATAATTGCTAGAGCCAGGATCTTCTTATTTTATAGACTTGTTTTCAAGTGGGTGAATTGCTCCCTTGGGATCAGTACTTGACACAATCAATGAAGTAGAATTTTATTTTATTAAATTTTTTTCACATGTGGGTGTTTTGGCTGTATGTCACATGGGTGCCTGGTGTGTGCTTGGTGCTAGAAGAGGGCATCAGGCCTGTTGGAACTGAAGTTACAGGTGGTTATGAGCTGCCATGTGGATTCTAGGTAGCCTGGATTCTCTGACGAGCAGCTAGTGTTCTTAACTGCTGAGCCATCTATTCACCCTCATGAAGTCGAATTTAAAGATTAGAAACCGTTTGTGATGGTGCACTCCTTTGATCCCAGCACTTGTGTGGCAGATGCAGCTGAATCTCTGAATTCAAGGCCATCCAGGGCCACATAAGAGCCTGTTGAGGGCACTGGGGTCGGGTCTCAAATACTCTAAGATTAGCTCACTCACTAAATGCCCTCCCTTCTCAGTGATCCAGCTGCTGCTTTTTCCTTATGTATTTTATGTTTATGAGCACTCTGCACACCAGAAGAGGGCATCAGATCTCATTATAGATGGTTTTGAGCCACCACGTGGTTGCTGGGAGTTGAGTTTAGGACCCCTAGAACAACAGACAGTACTCTTAACTACAGGGCCATCTCTCCAGCCCCTATCTTAGTATTACTGTTTTTCCATCTTAGTAAAACTTATTGTATAAAATAATATAAAATCTTAAGTAAGGGCATGAGAGATGGCCCAGGGTTTAAGAATATTGCCTGTTTTTCCAGAGGACCTGGGTCTGATTGATTGCCTGTGCCCATAAAGTGGCTAACAACTGTCTATAATTCCTGTTCTAAGGGATGTGATGCCCTCTTTTGGCCTCCGTGGGCACTACACACGTTTATAGACATACAAAACTTTATTATGTATAAAATAAAAATAAATCTTAAAGATCTTAAGTAAGCTAGGTAGATATAGTAAATCCAGCCTGTAAATTTCAGATTTGGGAGAGAGGCTGAGGAGAACAATCACGAGTTTGTTGGCAGCCTATCAGAACAAACAATAACAAATGAGTAAGGAAAAAAACAAAACCAAAAAACTTACACACACACACACACATTTAAATAAATAAATAAATATGTATTTATTTCTAATGTAGTCCAGGGTGTATCCAGTGATGGCCTGAAGTTCTGATTCTATAGCCTTCATCATGGGAAGGTCTGGATTACATGTATGTGTCATAATGCCTGGTTTTATGTTGTTCTAGGTATTGAATACAGAACTGCAACCTAGACAGGTACTCTACCAGCAGAGCTACAGCTTTACACTCTGCTTTTCCTTTCCTTCACTTCTTTCTTCGTTATTTCATAGAAATTCTGAAATAGAAGAATCCCTATGCAATAACAACTAAATTGTGGCTTTTAGGTAATTATCAGCATGTTGATATACTTACTATAGAGTAGTACCAATAGTTCTATATGTAGCTTACTTAATACATAATTGTATTGTGATTACTTCCACGTGTTTGCTTATAATTTAAGGGTCCCTTGATTATTACTAGAATGAAAGTGTAATCCATAGGCGAAAATATTGATAAACATCATCAAAACTGAAAGTCTTGGTGTGTGAAAACTTTGAGGGAGATGAAAAGAAGACTGTAGTGCCGAGAAAGATGGCTCCCAGAGGGTAGGAATGCTGTGTTCAAGCTCCTAGGCACCCCGTACAAGAACCTTATGTCTTCAAGGATCTGTAACACCAGCGTCAATGAGGATGGAAAAAGCCTCATGGCTGGCTCCCTGGGCTTCCCTGGCTGGCCTCTTCTAGCCTAGTGGAAACCGGGGGCTTTAGTGTAGGTTCAAGAGAATAGAGAAGACACTTGGCATCCTTGGCACCGAGTGCACCAATGCTCATTCATTTTATTCACTTGTCGCCGCCCGATATACATCACACGCACACACTACATATGCGCAGATAGTATCTGTGAATTGGACTTTTGTTTATTGTGTATGATATGTGATTTGGGTGCATGTATGCCACATCATGCATATGAGAGCCAAATACCAACTTGTGGAGTCTTTTTTTTTTTTTCCCTTCCACCTTTGTGTTGGATTTAGGATCACTATCACACTAGGTCATCAGGCTTATACGGCAAGTGCTTTTATCCACTGATCCTCTCTAGCTCTTGGAATGTCAATTCACGACCACTGGGTGGTTGGGTGGGTCAGACTTCCCTTTCACAGGATCACTAAGACCATCAGAAAGCACAGATATTTACAATTTATAATTAGTAAAATTACAATTAGGAAGTAGCAATAAAAATAATTTTATGAGCCGGGTGTGGTGGTACACGCTTGTAATCCCAACATTCAGGGAGGCAGAGGCAGGTGGATCTCTGTGAGTTTAAGGCCAGCCTGGTCTACTAAGTGAGTCCAGGATTGCCAGGGCTATACAGGGAAACCCTGTCTTGAAAAACAAAAAAACAAACAAAAAAAAATAATAAAGTTATGGTTGGAGGTCACAACAGGAGGAACTGTATTAAAGGGTCACAGCATTAGGAAGGTTGAGAATCATAGTGTTTGCAAGATATATTTGGCAAAAGCCAATGTGTAAGAAACTGTACTGTACAGTAGAAACGACTCCACTTAGAAAAGGTGCAAAAGACAGATGTTTCACTAAAGGATACACAGATGGTAAATAAGCAAATGAAAACATGTTATCAGTAGACATTAGGGAAATGCAAATTGAAAGCACAATATGGTATTACTATATAACTATTAGAATAGCTAAAATTAAGATGTGTGTTAATATATATTCATTAAATGTTGGTAAGGATACCAAGAAAATATATTACTGGTGGGAATATGAAATGGTGCAATCATAGAAAATCTTCTGTAGTTTTTTCTTTCCTTTTCTTCCCTCCCTTCCCAGTCTGTGGTAGCCATACCTCTGGTCCTCCTCTTGTCTTCATGTCCTAATGGCTGGGGTTATAGGTTTGTGCAGCTACACAGAAGATGTTTTTGTTTCTTTGATTTGCAAAACAGATTCACTCTTGTTGCCATTTTAAAGCTTTAATTTTAAATTCCTTTTTTTTTTGTTTGTTTGTTTGTATGGGTCTGGGCACATAAGCCTTGTATGCTTGTGGAGGTCAGAGGGACGACTTGCTGGAGTCTCCTACAATGCAGAGCACCAGGATTAAACTGAGGTCCATTAAGCCACCCTGCTGGCTCCTTGTCTTTTTTTCTTTTTCCATTCTAATACAGGGTTTCTCTTCCCCTGTATAGCTTTATCTGTACTGGAACTCATTCTGTCCCAGACTGACCTCAATCTCGGAGAACCGCCTGCTTCTGCCTCCTGGTTGTTGGAACTCCAGGCATGTGCTTTTACGCCCTGCTGGTTTCCACTTCTTGCTCTTGTGATTAGTGCTGCTTTTGAATATACACACAAGTATTGTAAGACTCTGCTTTCATTTCTTTTGGATTTGTACCCACAAATATGGTCTTTCCTATTTTATTATTTTTTGGGACAGGTCTTCAGTGTATTGCCTTTGCTGCCCTGGAATTGACCATGTATAGCAGGCTGACTTCGAACTCAAAGAAATCCACTTTGTCTCTGCCTCTTTTGAGTGCTGGGATTAAAGATATACACTATACCAACAAGTCCTGTTCTAATTTTTATTAGCTTTATTTTTGAATGTAGGTTTTCGGTAAAGTTGAGCAGTAGATTGTATTATGCTGCCTTTCTCAGGAATAAACAGGTTCTTCTATGATCTGCATTATTTACAAGAATGTAATTAACATTTGTTATTAAGAATGGCTTACAGAAGCTCGATAACTGCAGAAGCAGCCAATGCTTCCTTTTCTAGGAGCCACCAAGATGGCTGAAGTGGAGCAGAAGAAGTGGACCTTTGCAGATTCACCTACCACACTGTGGACCTGGACCAATTGCTGGACATGTCCTATGAGCTGCTGATATAGTTGTATAGCACCAGAAGTGCCTGCCAATGGCAACAGAAGCAGCATTCACTACTCAAGTGCCTGAGAAAGATCAAGTAAGAGGTGCCACCCATGGAGACCCCCCACCTGGGGGACATGATCATCCTGCCAAGATGATAGGCAACATGGTGGGCATATATAATGGCAAAACCTTCAACCAGGTGGAAATCAAACTAGAGATGACAGGTCACTACTTGTGCAAATTCTCTTATCACCTATAAGCCTGTGAAGTGTGCCTTGCCTGGTTGTTAGTGCCACTCACTCCTCCTGCTTTATCCCTCTCAAGTAGCTGTGTCAAATAAAAACCCATGTTTGTTCCCTGGGGGATTATGGGGGAGAGAAAGTTTGGCTTACAGGTGGTGGTTCAGATAGTTCAACAGTGGCTGTTTACTGATGGAAAGGCCATCAATCCTGGTGGTTATACAGTTCACAAGAGAATTGTCACAGGGGTTCCAACTTGCGGATTCCTAGAGAGTTGCTATTCTTTAGTCATTTTTTTGAATCCTGATGATAGTTTTTTTTTTTTTTTTTTTAAGACAGTGTTTCTTTGTATAGCCTTGGTTGTCCTGGACTCACTTTGTAGACCAGTCTGGAACTCACAGATCTGCCTGTCTCTGCCTCCCAGAGTGCTGGGATTACAGGCATGCGCCACTGCAGCTAGCAAAGATTTATTATTTTTACAGCATTCTGCCTGCATGTCTGCCTGTGTAACAGTAGAGGGCACCAGATCTCACTATAGATGGTTATGAGCCACCATGTGGTTGCTAGGAATTGAACTCAGGACTTTTGGAGGAACAGCCGGTATTCTTAACCTCTGAGCCATCTCACTAGCCCCTGAAGTTAGGTTTTAATGCCAATGAAGGAATGCTTCTAAAACAGGATAGATGAAGTTGCAGTGAGGTCAAGCAGGCAAAGAGCAAAAACGGATTTCTTCTGTGTCCTTTATGTGGGCTCTGGCAAGAAGGTGTGCTCCAGATTTAGGGTAGATCTTTCCACTTAAAGTGATCAAGTCAAGAAAATCTCTCCAGGCCTCTTCCCTCTTCCAGAGCTCCTGAATTCAAATTCCCAACAACCACATGGTGGCTCATAAGCATCTATGATGAGATTTGGTGTCCTCTTCTCGCCTGCAGGCATACATTTTATATATAAGTAAGTAAATCTTAACAACAGCAACAAAAACCTCACAGGTGGGTCTCTGTGTGTTCAAGGCCAGCCTGGTAAAGACATGCCACTATACCTGGCTGCTTAGTTTTGTTTTGTTTTTATGAATATACTTGCCCTTTGTTGGATATTAACTAGTCGACCTACTATTAGTATTCCATTTCCTGTCTCCCTCTCTCTCACTCCCCCCTGTCCTGCAGACAGAGTCTGTCTTTAGCTTGGACTGGCCTGGAACACTGTGGAGCCTAGGCTGTTCTTAAAGTCTTGCTAACCTTACTGCCCGCCCCAAACTCCCCAGTGCCAGAGTTTCAGACATGAGCCACCACTTCCAACTTAGTGTCCCATTATCATTCTCTTACTCCAATCTCTTATTTATTTCTTTTATTGTATATGTATAGCATAGTTTATGGGATCATTAGAAAGGATTATAAAGCCAGTCATGGTGGTGCACGTCTTTAATCCCAGCACTTAGGTAACTCTTGAGTTTAAGGCCAGCCTGGACAGACAACCAAGGTTACACAAAGAAACCCTATCTTAAAAAACCAGAAAAGAGGAAAGAAAAAAAAAGGATTATAAATGAACATTGGGAACTTGACAGAATGGTTCATGATAGCCATGTGAAAAAACTGGACAAATGCTTATATATTTGAAGTTAAACAGTATTTAATAAGTATATGGGTAACTGGCATGAAGATTGTATTTGTAGCTTTGTATCACTGTTCCTCAATTTGGGTTGATTTCAAAATAGTTGGAATTACTTTAAGACATTGCTATATATAGTAAGGTTGTACCAAGAACAAGAAGGGAATAATCAATTACTAAGTTTTCTATATGTTTGAATAGTTAGGTAGTTTTCTAAAAATTAATAGAATGATGTATTACGTCAATGTTTTACCAGCATTAGGTCAGATACCTAGTCATAGGTAACCTAGTAATTTACAAATAGCCTTGTATTTTTTTTTTTTTCTAATGGTTTTTTTGAGGTAGGGTTTTTCTGTGTAGTCTTAGCTGTCTTAGACTTGCTTTGTAGACCAGGCTAGCCTTGAATTCACAGTTTGCCTTCCTGAGTGCTGGGATTACAGGCGTGTGCCACTGTGCCTGTCTGTATTGATATTTTTTAGTTTAGTTTTTAAAAATAACTTTTGGTATTTTGAGACTGGGTGTAGCTTTGGCTGTCCTGGAACTCACTCTGTAGGCCAAGTTGGTCTTGAACTCAGATCCACCTGCCTCTGCCTTCAGCGGCCTGGGATTAACAGCATGCTTCACTATCCAGCCTTTAAAAAAATTTTTTTTTAATTTATTTTTGCTTATGTGCATCGCTGTTTTGCCTCCATGTATATCTTTATGAGGTCTTTGGGTATCCTGCAACTGGAACTACAGATAATGGTGACCTGTCATGTAGGTACTGGGAATTGAACCTGGCTTGTTCTGGAAGAGCAGCCAGTGCTCTTAACCACTGAGCCATCTCTTTAACCCCTTGTATTGATTTTGTGTGTGTATGTGTACACTTACTAGTGAGCTTTGAATTACTTTCAGGAGCACAAGCGTCTTACCAGTGGCTAACCACTGAAGAAAATGTCTCTTCATTCTCCAGCAGCTAGTAATCCTTAGAGAGGGGCTTTGTGAAGCCCTCCTCCAGCAATTGATAACTGCTTATAAATGCTCAGGGAAGGGTGGAGATTCACAAGCCTTAAACAAAACAAAACAAAACGCTAAAAAGCTTCAAATATCTCTAAGCTCTCAGTGGCTTAAAACACAGGAGATTATTTATTTGTTGAGGTTGGCAAGCATCTCTGATCCATGATGTTACTTAGTAATAGAGCCGCCACCATCTGAAATGTTGTCAGAGCCTTCTAGAAGCTCCTGCATCAGCAATTTAAATACCCTTGCAACAGCTGATTTTGATGCATTGTGACTTTTAAGTCACAGGTTGCATCTGGCCACAAAACTGGCTACAACCATGTTGAGGCCCAGAAAGATAACTAGCTGTTAAGAGCAGCCTTGATGACTTCTACATTAAATTATAACATATTCCTAGAACTTGGCATATAGTAGGCACTCAGTAAATATGCTAAATGGGTTGCAGTGTTAAGAATCTGCTTAATTTTTAATCTTTGTTGGCAATGTTAGGAAAAGAATACCTGGACAACTGGCATATTCTATTGGAGACCAGAAGAGGGAATCATTCTCTGGAACTGGAATTGTAGTTGGTTGTGGGTGCTGGAACTTGAATCCTGGTCATTTGGAAGAGCAGTCAGTGCTTTTAACACTGAGCCATCTCTCTAGCCCCTACGTAATCTTTTTGATAACAGAATTTCCACAGCCATATTTGCATTCTTGGTGTCTTTTTTTTTTTTTAAACAGAGCATTTATTTTATGACTGACAAGATGAACTGGATGCTGCAGCAGCTGCCCTCTTGGGTTCAGGTGTTGTTCCTTCACGGAAACTCTGTCTGAACCTGCAGCAATTTTTAGGTGCCTCATCCCACCAGAACCGGTGATATTTCACCTTGCGCTCCAGTTATGCTTTTTTTACACCTTTGCCACAGGCTGACTTCTGAAGGCGGTTGGCGGCGACACAATGTGTGTGTCTTATTGCGGTTCCTTTCTGGTTTTTTTTTTTTTATCATTTATTACAATTTATTCAATTTGTATTCCAGCTGTGGCCCTCTCCCTCGCCCCCTCCCAATTTCACCCTCCCTCTCTCTTCTCCCACTATGACCCTCCCCTAGTCCACTGATAGGGGAGGTCCTCCTCCCCTTCTCTTTGAGGAGGACCTCCCCTTCTCTTTGACCTAGCCTATCAGGTCTCATCAGGATTGGTTTCATTGTCTTCCTCTGTGGGATGGCAAGGCTGCACCCTCCAGGTGGAGTTAATCAGACAGCCTGCCACTGAGTTCATGCCACAGAGAGCCCCTGTTTCCCTCACGACAGACTTCATTTGGAGACCGAGTCTATGGACAATATCTTAGCTGAGGTGTTAGGTCCTCTCCATGCATTGTCCTTTGTTGGGGTATCAACTCTTGAGAGCCCCCAGGGCTCAGGTTTTTTTTTTTTTTTTTTTTTTTTGTTTGTTTGTTTGTTTGGCTCTGTTGGTATCCTTTTGGAGCTCTGGTCCTCTCCAGGTTTTTCTATCTCCCTTCTTTCACAAGATTCCCTGCACTCTGCCCAAAGCTTGGCTATGAGTCTCAGCCTCTGCTTCAATACTTCGATCAGTAAAGTCTTTAAGAGGCGATCTGTGATAGGTTCCTGTCCTGTTCCCTGTCTTCTCCTGCTTCCAATGTCTATCGCATTTGGATGACGTTCCTTTCTGCTGTCAAGGCCAAAGAGCTCCGAGACTTTTTTTTCCTCATACCTCTTTATTCGTTCTCCTCCTTCATCCCCTCTTCCTCCTCATTATATTCACGTTGATTCCTATTAAAATTGTAAGCTGTACATATGGAATTGCAGCAACTCTTCTATTGTGATGGACATTGGGACCTGAGCATGATTGGTTGTCTAAACCAGGTATTTAATGTTCATGTGCCAGCATTATTAATATGTCATATTTATTGAATCAGTATAAAAGCACTTCATGTAAACCTTTTGAGAAGTTAGAAAGCGTTCATAAGAGTTAGAATTAAATTTCAGAATAATACTACAAAATCAGTTTATAAAAAATAAGTTATATTGGGCTGGTGAGATGGCTTAGCAGGTAGAGGCATTTGTCACCAAATCCAGGTTAAGTTTGATTCTCTGAACCCACATGGTGGGTAGGAGAAAGAGCCTATTGCTGCAAATTGTCCTGACTGTGGCATGCTGTGCATGCACAAGCACACATAAAAATAAATAATGCAATTAAAAATATAGACAAGCAGTTCTGAATAGGGTATTGTTGAATAGCAGTAACAGATGTT